AGAGTGGAATTATGTAATGTAAAAGAATGGGGGAGGGGGGTTTCAAGGGCAGTTCTTGAGACAGCTCTCTCAGCCTCGCCTACCTCACAGGGTGTCTGTTGTGGGGAGGGGGAGGGAAAGGAGACTGTCAGCCGCTCTGAGACACCTTTGGGTAGTGAAGGGCCATGGGGTATAAATCCAATCTCTTCCTCCTCCTCCTCCTCCGGTTTGGTGTAGAGCCAGTTGGGTGTCGTGGTTAAGTATGCGGACTCTAATCTGGGAGAACCGGGTTTGATTCCCCACTCCTCCACTTGCACCTGGCTGGATGACCTTGGGCAAGCTGTGGTTCTGATAAGAGCTGTCCTTGAAAAAGAGCAGTTTCTCGCAGAGCTCTCTCAGCCCCTCCTACCTCCCAGGGTGTCTGTTGTGGGGAGGGGAAGGGAAAGGAGTTTGTCAGCCGCTCTGAGACTCCCTTGGATAGTGAAGGGCGGGGTATAAACCCAATCTTTTCTCTTCTTCTCTTCTTCTTAAGAATCCAACACATCACAAGGGAGGCTGTTCTAGTGTTAAATGCAATGCACCGTTGGGAAGGTCTTCCTCAAATTTAGCCGAAGCCTCCGTTGATGTAGTTTATAGCCATTAGCCTGGGTCCAGTCCAGCGATGAAGAGAGGACAGAACTGCTCGAATCCTGCTCGGCCTCAGTCTTGCCTTGCAGTGGAAACGGCACTTAGCCTGGTAGAGAGAGAGAGAGAGAGTGGTGCAGCCCAGGGTAGACAGAGGGACGGGACATAGTTCCCTTTTATGAAATTAAGTCCTCAGGGCCAGATACATCACATTCAAAGGTGCTGAAGGAACTTGCTGATGTAATCTTGGTAGCTGTGAGTTTCCTACGTTGTGTGGGGGGTTGGGCTAGATGACCCTTGAGGTACCTTCCATCTCTATGTTTCCGTGTCTCAGTTTCTTCTCAGAGGCTTGGGAGTCTTCCTCGGTTTGTTCACCCACCACCAAGGTTGAGTCAGCTACAAACCCATGCAAACATAACTCAGAAGTCCCAAAAGGTTCATACAGCAGAAGTAGAAAAGAGCAAGAGTCCAGTTGTACCGGTTTGGTGTCGTGGTTGAGTGCGCGGACTCTAATCTGGGAGAACCGGGTTTGATTCCCCACTCCTCCACATGCAGCTGCTGGATGACCTTGGGCGACCCGCAATTCTGTCAGAGCTGTTCTCTCAAGGGCAGTCCTCGAAAGGGTTCCCTCAGCCCCGCCTACCTCCCAGGGTGTCTGTTGTGGGGAGGGGAAGGGAAGGGAGTTTGTAAGCCACTCAGACTCCGAGTGAAGGGCGGGGGATAAATCTGATCTCCTCCTCCTCCTCCTCCTCCTCCTCCTCCCCTCCTCCTCCTCCTGGACTAACAAACTTTGCAGCAGGGTGTGAGCTTTTGTGAGGCACTGCTCACTTCTTCCGATATCTCATACCCTCACAAAAGCTCCTCGGCCACAAATTGTGTTAGGCCTTAAGGTTATCCCGAGCTCTTGCCCTTTTCTACTGCTACAGACAGACTAACATGGCTATTATCCATCTTGATCATACAAGCAGAGATCATTCCGTAGAAAAAGAGGTGCAGGAGCGCATTAAATTGAGGGGGGGGGGACATGCAGATCTGTCCTGGCAGAGGAGGGAGAGCTTGTACCTCAATAGAACTTGGTCTCAAAGATGCCACTGGACTGTTTTGGACCGGGGGGATGGGGGGGAGCTTTGCAAGTTACCTGGCTGCTTCTTGCTCTGACTGAGGGCTGCTGGGAGCAGGGGGTGGGGCTTGTTGCATGTGCCCACCCCCTGGCCTCTTTACTGCCAGAGCTCCACTCCTGTGTGCTCCTGCAGGAAGTGACCCCTGACAGGTCATGTTTAAGCACAGCCTTACATATTAAATTATCACAAACATTTGCTAAAAAATAAAATCAAAGTCCAGTCTGTCAAAATGTCTCCGAGGCTTGATCACAAAGGTTTGATGGCAATGCAATAAATTTTGTGACTCCTTTTGTAGTTCTCTTATCAGACCCCAGTGCCACGTTTCAGTTGGGGTCAGATCCACGTGTCACTGGATCTTGTGCTCTTGTGATCCAATAGCAGTTATTGGCAACTGGATTGCCTTTTTATTTTTTTTATTTATCAAATTTATACCCCGCCCCTCCCCGCAAAGCAGGCTCAGGGCGGCTTCCATAGAGACATAAATACAGCTTAAAATCATACAATTATATAAAACACCACAATAAAACCAATATAAACACGAAGTGCTTAGGGGTTAGGAGCGGTATATAAATCAAATGTTAAATAAATAAATAAAAAATCAGAGGGATTCCCACTGCCCAGATGTTCTCCGATGTTTCTGCTCGTAATCAGCTGGATGTTAGACCCACGGACCAGGGCTCTGCGGTAGCAGCGGCTGCTAATTGAATGCCTGGCAGAAGAGCTCCGTCTTGCCGGCCCTGCGGAACTGAGGAAGGTCCCGCAGGGCCTTGATCTCCTCCGGGAGCTCATTCCACCAGGTAGGGGCCACCACTGAAAAGGCCCCGGCCCTGGTAGTAGCTAGCCTGCCCTCCCTCGGCCCTGGTAGTAGCTAGCCTTGGCCACAGGAGAATCTGGTTGCAAATGGTAGTTATGGCACAGTGGCTCAGAGCATCTGCTCTGCATGCAAGAGGTCCCAGCTTCATTCCCTTACTCTGCCTGAGACCCTGGAGAGCCCCTGCCAGTCTGAGTTGACAACGCTGACCTGGGTGGGTCAATTGATGGGGAGAGCCTCCCCTGCCACAAATTTGGTTAGTCTTGAAGGTGCTCCTGGACTCTGGGTCTTTTCTACTGCTACGGACAGACTGACACAGCCACCTGTCTTGATCGGTCTCCATGGAAGGCACCACACTTAGTTGTACAGAACTGAAATCCATTGACCTTGTGAAGAAACTCGCACAGGTAACCAACAGATATCATCTTTCTCACCGAAGACGGTACCTGAAGAAGTGAGCGGCGACTCACGTAAGCTCCTCCCCTGCTACATATTTTGTTAGTCTTTGGTGCTCCTGGACTCTTGCTCTTTTCTACTTGAAACATACTGGATTCAAGATGTGTATAGCGATCTGCTCGTAGTTTATTAGTGATTTCAGCTTTAGAAGAAGAAGAAGAGATTGGATTCATACCCGGCCCTTCACTTGGAGTCTCAGAGCGGTTTACAAACTCCTTTCCCTTCCCCTCCCCACCACAGACAGACGCCCTGTGAGGTGGGTGGGGCTGAGAGAACTCTGACAGAGACTGCTCTTTCAGGAACAGTTGTGCCAGAGCTTGTGACTGACCCAAGGTCACATCAGCAGGTGCAAGTGGAGGAGTGGGGAATCCAACCCGGTTCTCCCAGATTAGAGTACGCACACTTAACCACTACACCAAACTGGCTCTCTAAGACAACTCTAGCAGGGCCGGAGCCCCGCTTATATGCATGCAAAACACCCACCCACCACACACACACACACACACACACACACACACACACACACACACTCCCTGTGATAGGCTATTTTACAAAACATTACTACTAGATTGGCTTATTCCAGAGTCCTGGTTGGCTATTGTTCTTGTGCTCCAAGCTCAGCCAGTCTCTGGAGTGATTCAATCCCAGTACATAACACGACTGATTCAGGATAATGCGGCTTCATGTGTTCACAGCAAGACCATAAGATCCAAAGGTGCATGGACGCAGCCTTGGGCACCCCCGAGAAGAGTATCATGCGCCTGTTTGTCTGAACTTGCTTCTAACCCCTCGGTCCTCCTTGTCTTGTCTCCCCGCCCTGCAGAACTACGCTGCTATGAAGCTCGTGAAGCCTTTCAGCTGAGCCAGCACTGACCCGAGACGACAGCAGCGCGAGAAGCGCCAGGCCTGCCCGTTATGCCGGCTGCACAGTGCCTTCCCCGTCCTCCCGTAGCAACACCCGTGCCACGTGAAAAGAGAAGGCCCTGCCCTCGTCTGCCCTCTGTCCCCAAGGAACTGCTGCTCAGGTGACCTGGCTGAATCCGTGCACCAGACCCCGGCTTCCCTTCCCACCGTCCTTTCTCCATGCTCAGACTTGGCTGTTGGCTTGTCCTCAGAGGCAGATGGTTGGCTCTGTCCCCCTCTCATGAGTGTAAAGGGGTGTTGCCTGGAAGAAAACTGGAGTCGCCCCCCCAAAGTGGCCACATCCACACAGCATTCCTTCTGCAGACTTCAGGGGGGGGGGGATTCTGGTCTTCTGCAAAGAAGCCCTTGACAGCCGCCAAGCCCTGCCTTGTGAAGAAGGGGGTGTGTGGATCCAGCCGTCAGGACTCTTTCTCTCTCTCCCCCAAGTGGAATCGCATCGCATCACTCCAATCATGTTGTTTGGTGGGGGATGCGGAATGGAGGTGGGGGAGAGAGCGTCTTCTGAGATGGAATTTGCTAGGACGTGTGTGTGTGAGATAGGAAAAGAAAGCGTGCCCCCCTCTTCTGTTTTGCTTGTGTGCAAATCTGTGTAAGTACATCAATGCTGTTAAGTCGAACCCGACTTATGGCAACCCCAGCAAGGAGCTTTCAAGGCGAGGGCAAAGCAGAGGCGGTTTGCCATGGCCTTCATCTGCAGAGCCTTCCTTGGTGGTCTCTCATCCAAGCCTTATAGTGACCCCAGCAAGGAGCTTCTTCTGCAGAACCTTCCTTGGTGGCCTTTGGCAACCCCAGGGAGGGGCTTTCAAGGCAAGTGCAAAGCAGTGGCAGTTTGCCATGGCCTTCCTCTGCAGAGCCTTCCTTGGTGGTCTCTCATCCAAGCCTTATGGCGACCCTAGCGAGGGGTTTTCGAGGCAAGTAGAAAGGAGAGGAGGTTTGCCATTGCCTCCCTCTGCAGAACCTTCCTTGGTGGCCTTTAACCAAAGCCTTATGGCGACCCCGGCGAGGGGCTTTCGAGGCAAGGGAGAAGCAGAGGCAGTTTGCCATTGCCTTCCTCTGCAGAGTCTTCCTTCGGGGACTCCCAGCCAACCACCAACCCTGCTTAGCTTCCAAGATCTGATGTGATCAGGCTATCCCACGCGGTCTTCCCTCCCAAATCTGTGTAGATCAAGTCAATGAGCGCTTGTATGATTACTTGGCTAATGTTTCTTTAATCAGGTGACAGCCCCACGGAGACCAGTCCTTGGGTTGGACCCTTGGCACTTGCGGGCATCCCGGCAAGGTTCCTCTGCCCCCAACCCAGCTCTTCTCCACGCACTCAGCTCTCGGCCCCAACCCCCACGCCTAGTTTGCCAAAAAGAGTCACGTGCAATGCTCCCTCTAAGCTCTGGAGTCTTGTGAGCAAAAATTCTGCCTTGTGAGCTACTGGCAAGTGATTGGACTCCTGCATCAATTAGTTTGCTCTGGAGCCCTCCTTCCTGAGCTAAGGCAAAAATGTGTGAGCCGGAGGCTAAACAAACGGCGAGCTAGCTCACACTCACTCAGCTTAGAGCGAACACTGGTCATGTGCACCGGCCTTCGTTCTGCCTCCAGAACTGGGTGCTGAGGACATAAGAACATAAGAACCTAAGAGATGCCAATGTTGGATCAGGCCAAAGGCCCATCTAGTCCAACACTCTGTGTCACACAGTGGCCAAAAATACCAGATGCCATCAGGAGGTCCACCAGTGGGGCCAGGACATTAGAAGCCCTCCCACTTGGACCTGCTGGGGAACGACCGGGCTCCCTCCGTCTTCGGGGAGCAAGCCAGAGTTAAGGTTTTGTGTTCTGCAATACTGAAGGACTCTTTTGTGGGACGGAGTTTTGCTGCAAGTGAGACAAACCAGAAGCCGGGAATGGAGCCGTTCCAGGGCCGCCCCGGCACTGGGGGACGGGGGACGGGCGCCTGGGAGCTCTCCGCATCACCTGTAGAGGCCTTCGGAGCACGTTCGCAATTTGCCGTGCGGTTACCAATGAAATGCTATTAAACCTTTGGAATGCCGGTGGTGTTTTATTTTCCAGAGCGCAGGGCAGGGGGAGGAAAGGGTTACGGCCTCCACCACCACCACCAGGGCGTGGAGTGCAAGAGCATCTGCTTCCGTTTACAAGGGAAGCAGAGGCATTTAGGGGGCTTTGCCCGCCTGTCTCCATTGTGTGGGTCTCTAGGTGAACGTGTGTGTGTGTGAGAGAGAGGGAGTGGTCTATATGGTTGGCACACTCCAAGCAGCACTTGGAGACCCCCCCCCCGCTATTACTGTTGATCCCTAGGTGACTAAGATCAGTTTCCCTGCATAAAATGGCTGCTTCGGAGGGTGGAGTCTATGGCATTGTACCCTGCTGAGGCCCCTCCCCAAACCCCGCCCTCAGCAGGCTCCACCCCTCAAATCTCCAGGTATTCACAGTGCTACACAGCGTAGCATTCAGACCAGAATGAAAGAACGTGAAAGACACCGCAGACTTCGCCAACCTGAAACTCAAGGGAATAATAAGGGGACCAGCAATTCAAAGGACATACATATACAAATAGAAATTGCTGCAAAGTTCACACACTATAATGAATAGACAATAGTAAACTTGATAACGATGACAGCGTCATCGTTATCAAGTTTACTATTGTCTATTCATTATAGTGTGTGAACTTTGCAGCAATTTCTATTTGTATATGTATGTCCTTTGAATTGCTGGTCCCCTTATTATTCCCTTGAGTTTCAGGTTGGCGAAGTCTGCGGTGTCTTTCACGTTCTTTCATTCTGGTCTGAATGCTACGCTGTGTAGCACTGTGAATACCTGGAGATTTGAGGGGTGGAGCCTGCTGAGGGCGGGGTTTGGGGAGGGGCCTCAGCAGGGTACAATGCCATAGACTCCACCCTCCGAAGCAGCCATTTTATGCAGGGAAACTGATCTTAGTCACCTAGGGATCAACAGTAATAGCGGGGGGGGGGTCTCCAAGTGCTGCTTGGAGTGTGCCAACCATATAGACCACTCCCTCTCTCTCACACACACACACGTTCACCTAGTACAAGATAATGACTTAGCCCTACCCCACGTTCTGGAGTAGAGATAAATTACCTGCCTACCATTTTTCTTCTCACCTTGACACAAAGGGTACTCCATCTTTCTGAGTTATACTTCTGAGGATGCCAGTCACAGCTACTGGCGAAACGTCAGGTTCTACAATGCCAAGACCATGGCCACACAGCTCGGAAAATCTACAGCAACTAATGAACTCCGGCCGTGAAAGCCTTCGACAACTTATCTCTCCTTATATATAACTCTGTTTTGGTCATGGACTCCCCTGAACATTCCAACACGCTCCAAAATCAGTTGGCGGAATGATCTGTCATTCAGAGGGTCTTCCTATCCACTGGCTGCGTTGCCTGAGTCATGCCTCCAACATTCTAAACAGTTTGCTGTTCCTCCCCCCACCATAGCCAGTCAGAACACAGAGGTCATTTGCATATGTGGCCTGATTGGCCTTTGCCTCTAACATTCTAAATAGTCTGCTGTTGCTGTTGGGAGTCCTGAGGTAAAATACATATCCCAACCTCCCTGTGGGGCCTGGAGATCTCCCCAGCCACAGCACATCATTTCCCCTACAGAAAATTTCCCAGCTATTACAACTACTGTCCAGATGACCAAGTTCAGTTCTCCTGGAGACAATGGCTGCTTTGGCCAGTGGACTCTAAGGCATTATACCCTGCTGAGGTCCCTCCCCACACCTTACTCCCCAGGCCTTACTCCTAGTTTATTTATTATTTGCATTTATATCCCACCCATCCCGCGGGCGGACTCAGGGCGGGTAACATCATTAGCATAAATACAATTTCAGTTTTAACCATTAAACATTAAAACACGATAAAACATAACAATTAAAACAACAGGTACTGCTTGGAACAGCATCAGTTGGCCATAAAGTTCTGGCCCGATGGTACAATGAGTCAAAGGCCAGTTGTCGGTGGTCAGTAGACAGGTGACAACAACCTCAGGGAGAGGCCATAGATGGGCACCCACACCTCAGCCAAAGGCCTGGTGGAAGAGCTCCGTCTTGCAGGCCCTGCGGAACTGAAGGAGATCCCGCAGGGCCCTGGTTTCAATAGGGAGCGTGTTCCACCAGGCTGGGGCCAGGACAGAGAAAGCCCTGGACCTGGTTGAGGCACCCTGTGAGGTAGGCTGAGAGAGCTCTTTCCAGAACTGTCCTTGAGAGAACAGCTCTGACAGAACTATGGCTTGCCCAAGGTCATCCAGCAGCTGCATGTGGAGGAGGAGTGGGGAATCAAACTCAGTTCTCCCAGATTAGAGCCCGCCACTCTTTAACCACTACACCACAGCTGGCTCTCAAAGGTCCCAGATTGAATTCCTGGTATCTCCAGTTAAAAGGACCAGGGAGTAGAAGAAGAAGAGAAGAGATTGGATTTATACCCCGCCCTTCACTACCCAGAGGTGTCTCAGAGCGGCTTACAAACTCCTCTCCCTTCCCCTCCCCACAACAGACACCCTGGGAGGTGGGTGGGGCTGAGAGACCTCTGGCAGGAACTGCTCTTTTTCAAGGACAGCTCTTATCAGAACTACGGCTTGCCCAAGGTCATCCAGCCAGGTGCAAGTGGAGGAGGAGTGGGGAATCAAACCCGGTTCTCCCAGGTTAGAGTCTGCACACTGAACCACGACACCAAACTGGCTCTCTGCATGAAGAACCTCTGCCTCGGACCCTGGAGAGCGGCTGCCAGTCTGACCTTGACCGACCCACAAGTCAGCCTCCGTCCGAGGCAGCTTCATGTGTGTTATATCACCAAAAACAAGATGAGACCTGGAGCTCGGAACGGGCCCAAGCTTAAAATGAACTCATTCGGGTCTGATCCACACGGAGCCCAAACTGGCCTGTTTCAGTTAAGCCCATTCTGAGTTGAGCCTGGGAAATTTAATTAATCATTTAATCAGTTCAATTTATACCCCGCCCAAGCAGGCTCAGAAATCTCACACCCATCAGTAGAAGCGGGAGACCCAAAGGGTTCTGACTCCAGAAGTCCTGGTGTCCCATTTTTGCCCATTTCTCCTGGTGAGCAGAGGCTGCCCTGGGCTTCCTTGACCGTTTGCCGCGTGGTCTCCGGGCCACCACCTGCCAGCAAAGCCCTTCCGCCACTTGCATTGGACCGGCCTGCCGGTCTCTCTCTTGTGTGCCAAATGAACTGGTAATTGAGAAAAATCCTGACCTGGGAGAATCAGTCTGAACCTTTGCAAGCGCACATGGGTTAGAGGGATTTGTTTTAAATTTTCTCCCAATTTTGTTACAGAAGGGGGGGGGGGGACATGGAACGCCAGCACAAAAGAGCCGGGCCTCGAGCGCTCTTGCGTGCGCGTAAAAGTTAATTACAGAATGTTCCACTGCTTGAAAAGGTTTGTGATGCTTGTTTTTATATTATTTCCTTGGTCTTTAACTCTGTGTCATGTATAATTGACGGGTGGAATTATGAAGTGTGCGGGCTGCCCCGAGGGGAGGCCTTAACAACATACCGTTGTGTTTGGGGCTGGTGTCGGCCTGGTCTGGCGAGAGCGGGAGGAGCGCGGGGATTAGGCGCTGGCGGGCTGCCACGCCACAAGCAGACTGAACTCTCGTAACCCCCGGTAGCAGACTCCGT